GTGCAGGAGGCAGCTGATCGATGTTTCTAACTCTCTATCCCTCTCCCTTCCTCTCTGTAAAAAATCAATAAAAATATTTTTTAAAAAAACAACAAAAACATACATCTTCATTCGCGTGACCTTACCCCATGTATAGCTGACAGTTAAAACGGCGACATGAAAAGGGCACAGCACCCCAAATAGTGGCGGACATGCCAAGCACAGCCTCCAACACGCCGCCCCGGGGACATTTCCTTCCCGCGGAGCTCCGGGCACCCCTCCAGCCCCAGGGTCCTTCCCTCCCTGGAACCGAGGGAGAGCGGCACCCTGGTCCCCCCACAACTGTTGCTGGGCAACATGGAGATTCCCACATGATGCTGCTCACTACGGGGAAGGGGGCCCCTTTTGGCTTTCATGTCCCCCAGCGCACGACTCCTCCTTTGGGGATGGTGGCATGTCAGGCGTGTCCACGACGGGCCGCCGCAACATTGCCCACGGACACCCCGGTTCTCCTTTGAGAGCCATTTCTCTAAAACGGTGATTTGTTCCTGGGAAGTTCCATCCCTGAAGGAGAAGCCGCAGCTGAATTATTCACCGGGGTTTGTGTTACACATCCCTGCTCTCAGCACTACGCTGGGTGCGGTGGGAACAAAGACTGACTCAGGGCCTGGCTGCGGGGGCTCCCAGGGAGTGGCCGCGGTGGCTGGGGCAGGGAGGGCGGGCAAGCTCTCGTTTCTGAAAACAGGCTCCCTCCTCCTCAGAGCCGTTCTCCCACGGTCATCTGCCTGGCTGGACCTTCTCCCAAATGCCCAGGGCAGAGGAACCCCCAGCCTCCATCACAGCCTCAGCCCCGCTCACTCCGCAGGGATGGGATCCGCATCGTTAACTGTCCATTAAAACACCACTGGCGACTCCTGGGGGATGGAAACCTCCCTAGGCCCTGGGACCCAGAGCACGTCAGGAGTGGCCTTTGCCGTGGCTTCACTTTGGATCACAAATGAAAACATGTTAGCTGTCCCCATGAGCGCCCACATTTTCAATTCCTGATCATCTCTTTGGTCCTCATTCTGGGTGCCATGCTGTTTCCTCCTGGCCCTGCCGCTTCATCCTTGCACCGCCCCTGAGTCTGGTAACCTGGTACCAGCAGGCGGAGCAGCCCAGCCGGCCCAGCATGGGGTCACGGGACACCATCTGAGGCTGGGTCACAGCCACGCTTTGACGTGTGTCCATCAGCAGGGGGCGCCTTACCTCCCTGTTGGGGGGACTAGAAATGGCATCAAAACCAGCTTTTAAAAATAAAGGGAAATGGTCATTTTTCTCGAAGGCCAGCTGGGGGAGGGGGACACACAGAGGGTGGGCGCCTGGCACCCTACAGAAGCCTCACAAAGCCCTTTGAGGCAGACACTGTAACAAAGGAACATCGCAAGGCAGAAAACAAGGTTTGCAGCACCAAGTTCAAGGTCATTCCAGGGTTAGCGCAGGGCTAGGGGTCAACCCAGGTTGTCGGTCTGACTCCCAGTCCTGTGGATTTCACCTTATGCCATTTTTCTCCCTTTGGCTGAAAAAAGCTTTTCTGAATGTAAATCCATTGCTTTATCTCTCTTTAAGGTTAATCTCAGATCAAATTCAGAGCGTGGATTTTAAATCCAAGGGATGTCACCCCTCTCCTAGTCCCTCGACATCCGCAGGGACCGCTGCTGAGGAGAGAGAGAATGACCGCTGGCCGTGGTCACCCCGACGGAAGCCCCTCGGCCGACCTGAAGCAGGGCCAGGGTCGGCGGGGGAGACGGTGTCTGGCGAGGCGCACCGCCCACACTCACCGTTCTGGGTGAGCTTCGTGGAGCAGACCAGGGTGCTGATCTGGAAGGAGTCTTTGCTGATGGTGCAGCTGCCCAGGCTCTGCATGCCCTTGCCCGTGGCCGAGTGGCCCTTCTCCTCCAGCTCCGCCTTCGTGGAGGGCAGGCTCAGGTACGTGGCCACGTCTTCCAGCTTCTTCGCCTCGGCCTGCGGGTCGGGGTGATGGATGCCACCATCAGCCACCCACGGTTTTTCTTTTCTATCCCTCGTTAGCCCTAATCTTTTTAACCATCGTGGTATTTGCTCTTTATCATCTGCTAAACTGTTTATCCTAATGATTTCTCTAATTCCTGGAGATTAAATCACGTTAACAAGAGCGTTTCTTTACACAGCACCTGTACATCCTCTCCTCTCAGGAGGAGCAGCAGGACGGTCACAGGATGTGTGCGTTTGCATAATTACGTGTCACTGGACAGCAGCTTCCCCCGAAGGAGATGTCACTCAGGCCAGAGAGCGTTTCTTTACACAGCACCTGTACATCCTCTCCTGTCAGGAGGAGCGGCCGCAGGACGGTCACGGGATGTGTGCGTTTGCATAATTACATGTCCCCGGACAGCAGCTTCCCCAAAGGAGATGTCACTCAGGCCAGGCGGCCTGGGAGGGAAGGCAGCCCCACCCCTCCCCCAG